TCAACGTAGTCTCGTTGCTGTTCATGAAAATACAATAGGAGCGACTGAATCGCAAGTATACAGAGAGAAAAATTCGAAATGACCAGTTTTTATGATTTCAGGTTTTCAGGTATCCTTTGGAAGATGTTGCAATTATGCTCTTCATAATGGGGACGATAATCATACCGATTGTGATAGAGCTTCAGAGATGCCTGGATCGATTTCTGCGAAAATACACCCTTGAATTATCCCCTAAGTCCCCTGACCAAGGAATGTACCTAACGTTCCTTCGGCACAATCAGCCGAGAAACGGGTAAATAGTCGGTGACTTGAGAATAATAGAGAGAGTACTGTATTCTTGTGTGGTCATTCTTATATGGCCGAGGGGCACGGCCATGCTGCTATAGTAGTAAGACTATGTAGTGTGATAATCAGCACAAATTGTAACCCCAAAAATTTCAATAAAAATGTTGATAGAAATTTAAACAAAAGTTATGTCTTACTAAAGGCTAAAGAAATACGTTTATTCCTAGTGACGCGATAGTGCATTAAGTTTGCGATAATTATAGTGACAGCTCCTTCTAGATATTCATTGAGTTAATGCAACATGACAAACCTAGTCATTTTCGAAATGTCATTTTAAGCGATATCACATTTATCGAATAATTATCGTCTTCTTTTCCTTTGCAGCCTTGTTTGGCGACAGTAATAGAACGTTTAATAATGGTTTCACGTTTTACACGCTAGATTTAGGTTTGACATGTATTTTTTCTGGCTTTTAATCGAAACCAACTTTCGACCTCATGAAAAGGCTGCAACGAGTGGGGAGTCGACAAATTCGCTTTCTATAAGGGATGCTATTTGTCACAAATTTCCTTTCCTGAACAGAGGAAACGTGCTGACCCACCTTCAAACATCACAAGCCACAACCGCATCATCTGCGAAGACAACACCGACAGCGCACGTGACAGGAGCAACGTAGAGTCTATCGTTCATTTCTCATGAAATGATATTCATTCATCTCCTTAGGAAGGATGAGATGTGAGTGAGTAGGCAACGAGTTCAACACGAAACCTTCTGACCTAACCTCTGGATTTCTACCGTACCCCATAAAGCAATAGAAGAGGTAGCATATGAACAAGGGTAAAGCATTACTCATCCACCGGTTCGCTACTGGCAAGAAGTTAAACGTCAAAAGGTGTTTCGATTTAAACGGATTCATTCATTCATTCATTCATTCGTTCGTTCATTCATTCATTCGTTCGTTCATTCATTCATTCATTCATTCATTCATTCATTCATTCATTCATTCATTCATTCATTCATTCATTCATTATTCCTCATCGCATTTTGTTATTCTTTTCAGAAAGCATTCGCAACCATGGCAGGTGTGATTTCTCCGTCTTGCGATGCAGAAGCTCTACACTAAGGCTCTCTCGGATACCAGAACTACGGACCATGTCGAGACGCGTGAGCCCCGTGATTCGTCTCAGAAAGCTCATTTCAGTCGATTGTGTCAAAGCCTGTCAGTCATGACCCTCGACACATGACCACAGGTGAGCATATGTGAGGATGCATATAAATTAATCAAACAGTTTAGTCTTCAGACTCAACCCTGTCTTGGTCATAACCGTGCAGGTTAGTTTATGCCAAACGCCGCTGGTCGTCGCATTTAGCTACTCGAGCTGTACCTCCTATTTTCCAACCACCAACCCGACTCTGAAGTACTTGAACTTCACCACCTGCTCCACTGCCTCTCCGTTAATCTGAAGAGAGCAACGGACAGGAGAACGAGGAAGTACTAGGCTTTTCGTTTTAGATGCGTTCACACGCATGCCGGTCACGGCTCGCTGCGAACTTTTCTAGGGAGCACTCTAGATCAGTTTCAGAAGATGCTAATAAAACAAGGTCGTCTGCAAACAGCAACATTCCCGACTTCACATGTCCTACACTGATGCCCTCATCGCCTTGGCAGCTCCTGACTATTCTATCCATGTGCAACACAGACAGAAGAGGGGGCAGAGCGCAGCCGTGGTGGAGACCAGCTCCTACATTAAAAATTTTTGACTTGAAACCGTTTACTCTTTCGCAGCACCTGCCATCATCTTATAGTGAGTGAATTGCTCGTAGCATCACAGGCCGTCGATCCAATATATTCACAGTCACGCTGATAGCTTGTAGCGACGGATCCGAACAATGGCTTTCTCCAGGGATATAATGCATTTGAGCGAACACCGCAGATTTCTCAGCAATCTGTCTTCAGGCCAAAACTTGGTCAGAGGTACTATGGCATTACCTAAAGTCACACTCTCATTCTTCGACACTTTAATCAGTTTTTCCGCGGCACTTCCTTTCGTACAACCTTGCATTGGGACATTTCCCTCGAGGCAGAATAAGAAAATGCCCGATAGGTGGCGCCGTCCCTACGGTATCCTTTCTTGAACAGATTTATCTCCTTAGTCATTGTAATGTGACGAAGACGTGTTGGCAGTAATAAGAATTTTTTACCTGGAGCTTTCAGCTTCTCAGGAAGGATTTTATTGACGTCAGCCACCTTGTCACTCTTGAAAATTTGTGAGTCTTCTGT